GCCTTTCTTCGTAATGTTACTGGCAGACCCGCGCTTTGCCCTCCAACGGTCGGCAAAAGAGTGGACAAGTGGCCAGTACGGCCGCCCTGGACGGCTGATACTGGGCCCAAAGTTCGAAAAACCATTTTTCAGGGGCCGCCCAGGACCCAAGGAACAGATTCAGGGCGCTTCCCACTTTTTTCATTTCTGGGGTTTTGGCCCCTTCTGCACGGGCCTCCATCGGTCTGGCGTCTGGACGCCGGACCCCAGACCGTCTGGATGCCCATCCGGATGTCCATATGGTAGCCATGGGCCCCAGCCATTGATTTTGTTTCTATTTCCATTTATTTTTCCTGCCACTACAATGTACTCTCATGACCGTGAACATCATCCATAAGCACAACTGATCCACAAACAAGATACTTCAGTTGGGGATAGAAATAAAAACTGCATAATGCGCAAGGCGTTTGCATCTCGTGGAGGGCACATCATGCTTTTGAACATGCCAATGTTGACGATCATCTCAATCCATCGGTCTTTGTAATCTCTGCTCAGATAAGAAGAACCCAATAGCCAGACAAAATTCTTTGCTTCTTCCTTTCCCTCAATCTCCAAAATTTATTATTTTTCTTTCGTTTTCCTTCTTTTTTTTCTTTGTTTTTCACCATGACAATATACTCTCTGGACAGTAAACGAAGCCCGCAAGACCGATCCACAGAAACGATATTACAATTCACAATTAAATTGAAGTAATCCACAGAAAAGACAACCGAAATTTACAATTTGATCCACAAAAAGATACTCACAGTTTGCGATCGGACATCAAAATTTCATAATGCACAAAGCATTGCATGCCACGGAGAGGACGTACTGTGCTGTTGAGCACACTGATGTTCGCTACAAAAATTATGTGGTTCACACTTGGTCGTCTGAATCTGGTCACAACTGTTGTCGGATACATTCAGGAAGTGAGATGTAAAATGGGTTATACAACTGCAGTCGGATACATTCAGGCAGTGAGATGTGAAATGGGTTATCAGTTATGTAGTTCACACTCGGTCGTCTGAATCTGGTCACAACTGCTGTCAGATACATTCAGGAAGTGAGATGTGAAATGGGTTATACAACTGCCGTCAGATACATTCAGGAAGTGAGATGTGAAATGGGTCATCGGTTCTGCCAATTTGAAGAGAAGAATGTTCGCTACAGAAGATGCGTGCTTTATTTTCCCCATTCGCTCCCCTGAATTTGGTCGTAATTGTAGGCCGATACATTAAGGAGAATGAGAATCGGGTCAACTTAGTGCTCCCCTGTTCATCATTTCACATTCGCAACCCTCTCACGGGCTATTGATCCATTGCACGATCCTTCAGGCCCACCCAGCAATTTCACCTTTTCTTTTCGCTTTTTTGCCCCCCCAAATTCTCGCCTAAAAGGGGCATACAGCTGAAAACACAAGTGCACCAAGCAGGGGCGGGCACTGAGGTTCTCTTCTCTGGTTGCTTTACTAAAGCAAACGGTTGTCGAATCCCAAACCGAAGGCCTACAAACACTATAGTAGAAACAAAGATTGATTGAAGGGATGAGCAAAGACGAAGACACTGAAGTTGTGCATCTTGCTCTCGTTGCCAATTCGCTCCTTAACAATGAAAAAAAAAACTCGCACCACCATATCCCCCAATCGTAGGCCCAGAATTGTACCTACTACCGCAACCCTATCCCTCGACCTTCGAGAATAGACGTTGGAATTCTGGCTGCTGTGAAAAGAACCAATCAGTCCTGCACATGGCTTGCTTCAAGAATTCAAAGAGAGAGGTATACCAACCCCTAAGCCCCCCCTCCCTCTTCCCCAGCTCGCTTCCCTTTTCAGCGATATGGGCCACCAGGGGGAGAACTCCAAGAGAGGTTTTCGCCCCCCATTCCAATTCCTCCCCCTCTGGTCATCAATGTATGTCAGAAGGGTAAGAACATAAATGCACTTCTGAGGTGTTGCTCCTAACAAAAACAACAAAATCGACTGATGGTTTGGGTGAACTATCGGGCTGACTGCAGGAGATGTATGGCAGCCCCCCCCTCCGTCCAGTGTCATCCGGAGGATCGATGCAAGATCCCCCAACAGAAGCAACCCATGCTGCAGATGGTCCACTGACTGCTGGTGCTAACTGCCAGAAACAAGCAATCCCACGGATGATTTGGGTGAATTATCTGGCTCGTTGCAGGACATGCTTCTAGAATTTCTGTAGTTGTTCTCCACATTCTTCCAGCCCCCTCCATCAGGTGTCGGCCACACAGAATCGAAGAAAGATCTCCCCCGCCAGCAGAAGCAACCCATCCTGCGGAAGGTCGAGTGACTGTCCTCGCAGCTAACAGAAACAGGCGATCCAACTTATGGCTTGGGTGAGTTATCTACCGATTGCCGAGGATGCTTCTAGAATTCCAGTAGTTGTCGCCCACCTTTCTAACCCCCTCTGTCGCCCTCCTTTCAAGCCCCCTCCATCCTGCAGGGTTGAAGCAAGATACTCCCTCCTCCCCCCCCCACAACAACAACAGAGGCAACCTGTCCTGCAGAAGGTCGAGAGACTTTTCGGCCGGTTGCAGTAAAAGTGTTAAGATTCCAGCCCCGCTGTCGAATATGGACCGCGTAAATGTTGACAAATTTTGTATCAGTTGTTGTGCTGTACCCTTGCAATTGTCTTCACGATCAAATGGCTCGAAGATCAAGACTGATGCGAGACCTACTCGACCTTCATTTCCATCCCAATAACATTGGAAAGAAGTTATCCGCAGTTCAACTAACATGGGCATGAAAAATAAAATAAAAAATAGTACAAATAAAAGAGTAGCACATAAAAATTTGAGGCCAAGAAATTGAGGCCAAGAAATGTACGACACTGCTGATAAAAGTGACCATGGTTAGCAGTCAGACTATCATCACCATAGGTGGTCCTGGAGAGTTGAGCTGTTGAACAATGAATATAATCGTCATGAGCTTCTCGCCGCCAACAGAAGCTAAGCATGGCTGCAGACGATTAGGTGAATTGCCAGTTGGCTGTAGAAAAAGGTCCCGAATTTCTGGTCGAGCCTCCCAATGGCTCTCATACAAAAATTGCATCTACCTCTGGTTACTTCAAACCCTCTGTGCAGTATGGGCCTGCAGGGTCCCAAGTTCTCGCTACGGGTCTCGACTTCTCACTACCGCCACCAATGTGCGCTGCTGACGAACGCAGGAAAATGCTTAACGAACAACGGAAACATGGCCACTGCGCTGCAGTACAGACCTGGAGGGTCCTGAGCCACTCTCACATCACAACAGAAACCACTGCGCGATACTGCTAGAAGCAAGCAAATGGTTCAAGGACAACGGAAACATACCCTCTGCGGAGCGTGGGCACATAGGGTGCCGAGTCCTCGTTAATGGGTGACTCCTGCTCCCTACCGCCACCAATGCGCGCTGCTCGTGGATGCAGGAAAATGCGTCAAGAAATTACACGAACACCGGAAACATAGCCGCTGCTCTGCAGTATGGGCCTGGAGGGTCCTGAGCTGCTCTGGCATCATAGGTCCCAAGTTATGGCGGCTTCTCGCTACCACCACCAATGTGTGCTGCTCGTGGACGCAGGAAAATGCTTCAAGAACAAAGGAAGCATAGCTGCTGCTCTGCAGTATGGTCCTGAAGGCTCCAGAGCCACTCTTGCATCATGGGTCCCCAGTCTTCGCTACAGGGTGTCGACTTCTCGCTACTGCCATCAATGTGTGCTGCTCGTGGACACAGGAAAATGCTTCACGAATGACGGAAACATAGTCACAGCTCTGGAGGGTCCCGAGCCACTCTTGCATCACAACGGAAACCATTGCACGCCACTGCTGAACACAGGCAAATGGTTCAAGAACAATGGAAACATACCCTCCGTGCATTGCGGGCCTGTAGGGTCCCAAGTTCTCGTTGCGGGTGTCAACTTCTCGCTACCGCCACCAATGTCTGTTGCTGATGGACACAGGAAAATAATGGTTCAGGAACAACGAAAACATAGCCGCGGCTCCGCAGTATCGGCCTGGAACGGGGTCCCGAGCCCCTCTCGCATCACAATGGGAACAATGGCATGCTGCCGTTGGACACAGGCAAATGGTTCAACGAACAACAGAAACATACCCTCGGTGCAGTGATGTTCTCGTAGGGTCCCGAGGTCTTGCTATGTCTCAAATTCTCGCTACCGCCACCAATGTGCACTGCTCGTGGATGCAGGAAAATGCTTCAACAACAACGGAAACTTACCCACTACGCATGTATGTGCCTCAAGGATCCTGAGCCACTCTCACATCGCAACGGAAACCATTGCATGCTGCTGCTGGACGCAGGCAAATGGTCCAAGAACAATGGAAACATACCCTCTGTGCAGTGCGGGCCTGCGGGGTTTTCAAGTTCTCATAACGGACACCAAGGCATGCAGCTGCCGGATGGAGGAAAATTCTCAAAGAATAAATGGAGGCGCACCCTCTCTGTACCCAGAGAGTGTAACACTATTAATGAACACATCATGAACTTGAATCCTGCTGGAATACAATGAATTTGAAAACGCTAGGTGCGACGCCCTTGGAAAGAAATGCGCTCTCTCCATACTTTCACAGTTTTATGCCAATTGACTCTCGAGCAGGTGCAGATACAAATACACACCCCAACACTACTGCTCAGGGCAAATCGTCGTACCTTGGACTAACGGTAGCTGCAGGAGACGGGCCATGCAGTCTGACGAGGAGCGGTTCCTTAAAGGTTTCGTTACTGTGCTTGTCACCTGCCTCTGAACCGGGGGATGGAAGGACGATGACAGTTTCAGCTGCAGCAGCGACCTCCGTTCCTGCGGGGCTTGTCATGCTCTGCTCTTCCAGCACCTTCTTCAGGGACTTCTTTGCAATGGCGGTAACCAGTGAAAGGATGGCCACCGAGAAGAGAAGCCCGACCACGACAAAGGCCCATTTCCATTTACTTGGAGGCTCTCCTCCTCCATGAATGATGTCCTGGATGCTCTTCAACGTTGTCCCTACGTAAACCAGCACTAATGTGGACGGCATCATGCCAAGCCATGAGGCCAACGTGTACGTCGATACATTGAGAGGCGTGATCGAGAGGAGGTAATTCAAGACATTGAACGGGAGCATCGGCACAAGGCGGAGCAGAAACACAATCTTGAAACCAGAGAGCTCAATGGCAGTTGCAATCGCTGTGAACCGGGGATAAGCTCGGACTTTAGAAACAACGTACGCCCGGCCGATCGTCCTTCCTACTAAGAAGGCCGCCGCAGCACCAGCTGTTGACCCAATTGAATCGGCTGCAAAGCCGAGGGGTAGGCCGAAGAGATAGCCTCCGCCCAGAGTGAGGATTGAGCCGGGAATCGCCAGAACCGATGATGGAATATAGGCAAGAATCAGAACCAAGGGGCCCCAGGGCCCAACATCATTCTTCAGCCAAACGATGAAATTCCTCAGTACCTTCTCTACCGGCAGCATGACGGAGGCCGTCACCATCACCACCACGAGCACGATCAGCAGCACAAGCCTGCCGACAGTGTGCCATCGTACTGCCATCCTGCCGATCTTCCTCCTTTTCCAACGCCCCTTCGGGCGGCTGCTTCGCCAAAACCCTGCCACGGTGAATGCTCGCAATCTAGGGTCAGAAAGTTTGGGTCAGTGGGACCTCGCCGCGGGACATCCGCTAAATTTGCAACGATACAGAGAAGCTTGGAATGGCCTCCGCGCATTTACGGATGACACGCTCAAATCGAGAAAATGGCCCAAAATACCCACCCCACTTCCTCTGAGACCCTCGAATACCGCACGCAGATCTCAGAGAAAGTGGGAGCTGGTTTGCATCGCTCTGCTGTTAAGGAATGGCGGCAATTACTGTGAAACACAACTGAGGGCTTGATCATCAGGCATATGAAAACTGGATCCCGATCAACGTTCAAGGGGGTCTTCCTTGCTCCAGGCTCTGGTTCAAACCACCGAAAAGCAGGTTAAAGAGCAAGCCCACCATACAATCCTTCATCTTGCAGCTGCAAATCAAGGGTCACCCTCTTTTAAACCTGAGGTGAATCCTGGAGATTGGGGGTGGAAACTACATCCCAAGAAGGGTTCCCTTTTTTTCGTTTTTCTTTTTTCTTCTTTACTTTTGCTTTCTTTCTTACTAGGCTACCAGGTGTTCAAGACCTGAATGTCCAGGTTTGTTGTTCTTTCTGTGCGGAAATCGAGGACAACTTAATTTCAAAACATGACACGCACAGATCGAGAAATGGCCCACATGGTTTTTTTTTCCTTTCCAGTAAGGAAATATGTCTACTCTTATAACTGAAAATGGAAAAAAAAAAAAAAAAAAAAATCCAGCACAAAGGCCAGATTTAAATTGTTCTCCCCGGATAACTGTTGAAATTGGACCAATCTGGATAAAATGATGAAAGTTGCTATTAGAAAAAATGAAAAAAAAAAAAAAGTTGATACAAGCTTTGAAATTCCGCATTATTGTCCTCGCTACTGTTCATGTGGGGTAAAAAAAAAAAGGGAAAACTAGGGCGCTGTCACAGTTTCAGTTTGAAAATGCGTTTCAGTCACGAATCCGCGAATGTTGTGCCGAACCGAGGAAAATTGTGAATGCATACAACCTGGCTTTAGGGTCAGGTGGGGATGTGTTGTGTTCGAGGGATGCCTGAACTGGATTTTAAACTGAAATCGTGACTGCGCCCTAGTTACCCCCCCAAAAAACCAATCAAGTAAAAAGTCCGGGTTCGGAACTCTAGATTGTAGTCCTTCGGGCATCTGTTAAATTTGGAATGATAGAGACAAGATTACTAACTGTAAATTGGGAAAAAGAATGGAGGGGGGGGGGGGGGGGGGAGTGCCAAGTAGGAGCACCAACTTAAAAATTCCAGAAATATCCCAGAGGACAATACAGGACAAGACGTGGTAGTTGGTTAGAGCTCCGGAGTAGCATGGGAGAGTTGGTGAGTTCGACTTCGGTCGACCCTCACCCTCTCCTGTGCGTGTCTGGTTGGTCCTCGGTGGTCACCCCACGTGCTGGTCCCCTAAACTGGCACAGTACACACATGAGCCAATGCATTACACAGGATCTTTAGCGGGGTGATGGAGGAAGGCTGCTGTTCCATGGAGGCTACTGGGAGGGATGCCTTGAGGAATAGTGACAGGGGAGGGAGCATCGCTCTGCGAAGATATCATCATGGAGGGCAATGAGAACCTTGCGGTATAGGGGTGCGCAGTCCACCTTGCATCCCGAGGAGGCGGGTAGGGTTTGGGGGTCCACACCCATGGCCAGCAAATGTGGGCCCCTTGAGGACAGGAAACAGCAGGGGAGTCGTTGAGGACCGGAGACTGGAGGGGAAGTACTTAGAGTAGGGCTACCATAGGTTTATGGGTACGAAGTCCGTAGACGTCAAGCACCCAACGACTGCTTGGTTAGTCTCACCCGACCGAGCGCCGACGGATTCGCACTGCTCAAGTATGCGATGTGCTCTTTCGAGTCCATCAATTTAGGCTCCTTCCCCTCTCCGGACTGTGTACACAACCAGACCAGCGCTGCGTGCCTATTGCTAGGCTGCTGCTGTAAATAAAGGTCCTACGAGCCCTCTGCCCCCGCCAGATGCCCATCATACACCACCTGTGGTAGCTTGAGGGGTTTCCTAAGCACGGAAGCACTTGTAGGCTATCATAGGTTACACCTTGGCCTGATGGCCACTAGACACTGCCTGGGGCAGCTTGAAGACGGAATCTCCCAAGCACGGACCCCCAGATGAGGGGGACACTCTTCGGGCTACTCGCAGGGCTGGCAGTAATAGATCCACACCTGGTTCCCAAGGCACCTGTGCGATGAGGCTTGTGCGACAGCGCCTCAACCAGGACTGAAAATGGGTTTTCCCAGTCAGCTGGTGCCCATGACCGCTGTCTAGTCAGGGCACTCAATCAGAGAGTGGTAGTCCTCAATACGAGGTAGGATAGAAGGGGAGTGGTGGGTGCACCAGAGAATATCGAGAGGTGGAATGGGTGGGGTTTCCTAAGCGAATAGCTCCCCACACCCCGCCCCCCCCAACCCAACCAAAAAAAAGAGGACAACACAGAGAAGGGAGGATAAGGATGGCCCTCAAAAACAAAAACAAACTAAAGAAAAAACCCGATTAGCATACCCCTGCGCAACGATGATGAAATGAGCACACCGAGAAGTAGTAAAATATTACATTCTAGATTACGCTCGGTAATTAGCCTTGGTAATGAAGATTGGCAATTAGGCTTGGTAATTAGCGTGGGTAATCAAGCTTCTCAGAAACCTCATTAGAGCAACGGCTTTTCTCTCCACGTGCACAAATGACAAAAGATATGCCGATGTACATTTCCATGTTCTAGCGGAAGATTCATTCTCATTTTGCACATTTTGAGAGGCCCTTAGTCTACACTAAGGTGAAGTACTGCTAGCGGGGGCCAAAGAAACAGCAAACTGTTTTCTAATAGTCTCTACGCTAATGTGAAGTACTACTAGCAGGGGCGAAGGAAACAGCCAACTTTTTTTCTAGAATGGATCTATATTTGTCTGGTGGTGGTGATTCTTTAAGCCAACTTTTTTTCTAGAATGGATCTATATTTGGCTGGTGGTGGTAATTCTTTATGCCTACGCTTCATTGCCAATTTCATTTTATTATATTATATGATATTAATGATATTAAGTAATTAAATTGTTACTAATCCATACAATAAAAGATAAATTGGACATGCAATTAAAGAAGAAAAGGCTCCAAGATAATCACACGAAGAGTGACATATTAAGTAATTAAATTGTTACTAATCCATATAATAAAAGATTAATTGGACATGCGATTAAAGAAGAAACGGCTCCAAGATAATCCAGCGAAGAGTGACACCTACCAACAGGTTTCGGCAATTCCATCTATAACTCGTCTTTGAGAAAAGGAGACAGCCGCAATTTGCCCCAATCTACGTGGAAAATGGGGCTCCTATTCGAGGTTTGGGGGGGGGGGGGGGAAGAAAAAATGAAAAAACTACACGCGGCAAGGATGGAACTAACACACCTGAGTTCAAGACCTCAACAGCAGGGGGGTCAAAACGATGTACCTGGAAATCTCCTATGTCTAGGTACAAATCATGCACCTGACGGCGTGAATTGGGCAAATACATCCCCGCTGGGATGATCTCAGGATTAACTAAATCGAATGGATAAGATACACGCGGCAAGGATGGAACTAACACACCTGAGTTCAAGACCCCAACAGCAGGAGGGTCGAAGCAATGTACCTGGAAATCTCCAGCAGAGTAAATCTCCAGCAGCGTAAGAAGAGGCCGGCAAGTGCCTCAATTTGTCTGTTCTAATGGATTAAGGGGGATGCAGTGTAGCTGAAGTCCCACCTGCAAAAGGCAATCTTATGTACTTCTTCACAAATGCAGTGGGACGTTGGTCCGGGCTTACATTTGGGGCGTCCTTCAGGCTGCATTCCATTTTGTGTCCACCTTTTTTGGGCTCGAATCACGGTGTCATGCCTCTGCCGCTGGTGTCAGAACAACGTGGTTGCGTAGAGCAGAGGACGAGGAGAATGATAGCGATAGTCTCGGAGAAGGACAAATGTACCACATACACACAAGCACACACACATGGAGACATGCCCACAAACGAAAAACAAAAGGAAATGCACAATGGAAATGCCATATCTCTTGCACTCTCTCTCCACCCCTCCCCTTTTTCTCTCTGTTTCTCGCATGTGCTCATGCGTACTCAGCAGATTGAGGAGGGCTTAGCTTCCTGATGAGTCCTCTTCAGTCTCATCCGTTAGGCGATTCTCCAGATTGAGGAGGGCTCAGCTTCCTGATGAGTCCTCTCCTCCCTGTCTGCCCACGGTGTACCGGGCAATTCTAAATGACGGTTTACGTATGTATGTACACACAAAAAGACAGTCTCACACACACACACACACACACACACACACAGAGGAACTGACCGACATAGAGACAGACAAACAAATAGCCTGTTCACAGAATGACGCTTTAGTTTGTTTACCAGTAACAAATGAAATAAGATAGAGGAGCACCATCTGTCCGCATGCCCTGAGACCACCTTATCTTATCTGCAATACATTAGAAGGTCAGGGCTGTGTGTTGTAAGGCTGGAGTTACTCTTTCCCACCTCCTCGTTAGTTTTGTTGTTGACATATATGACATATATATGAATAATATTTATACATTACACATTCGAGAGTTACACATTCGGAGTTTTCCATTCAAAGATTTCCCTACTCTTAGTTTGGAGCGTGCACACTCTCAATCAATGTTGTGACTGCATTCACAA